AAAAGAAATTTTAAATTAATACTCAACATTGTCTAGAAGAAATTACATAATAAGATGAGCTTTAATCTCTCATAATGAGATAACTTTGGAAAATTTATTAATAATACGTAGTAGCAACTACACATCAAGAGGATGAGATGTCAAATTATCGGTCTGTTGAAATTAATGAGATGTAAACTATAACACATAATGATGAAATGCAGCTAGAGGATGTGAATAATTTGATAAGCTCATCAAGTAAGAATGAGGAAGAAAGTGAAGATACCTTGGAGAGCAATAAAAATATTTTTTATTCTCAATAGTTCTTATAATTTAAGTGACTAAATTTATTGTAATGAACTTATTGAATTGTAGATTTTGGAAATCAAGTTAGTAAACAAATCTTGGTAAATATCTCTTATTAAATCCTGTATGTATATTAATCATTATATATTATGTAATTCTTCATGCTTGTTATAACTAATTATTCTACATTCTATTTTTTTATTTCTACTTATGGAAAACTTCATAATTGTTACAATTTTATTTTTTTTATATGGTACAACGATTTTCTAATTACTTCTTTTACTGCAGCTGGCTCTAGGTGACGATCCTCCTTATAGATCTTTCACTTCAAAGTTTTTCTTGTAAGAATTATTTGAGTGGTGAACCAAGCAGACCTAGATAGGTTGATAAAGATGAGGGGCAGAGATTTGTTCTACCAGTGATACCATCACCACCACTTAGGAGTTAGCAGCAGTCCCCCACTGAGCAGGGTTAGGGATAGTTAGATTCACCTGTGGTTGGAGTACCACCACCCTTTCCTGGGTACTTACCTCCTACATCGATGAGTCCTCGATTTCTCTCTCTAGATCAGACACATTCAGCTCCATTATATCCATATTACCCACACCAACATCACAAACTGCTCTATCCACCATCTCTTACCCTCCTTACCCCCACCCCTATTATTACCCACATCCTGTACAATCAGAACATGGTGGGCCCTCTACACAAATAGAGGTTGGTACTGGGATCTTGCAACTTTAGTATATAAGCATGTATACATTGAACCTTAGGGCGATACATAAGTTTAATTTATTTTGTAAAGTTATTATAGTTTGATTTATTATATGTTCTTGACAAAAATTTTAACCTGTAGCATCAATCCCTCAAGGCTGCCTACCCAAAAGATTTAGGACATCATATGGAGCAAATATGAAGCTCCTTATCATGAAAGAGGATCCAAAAGGAACTTAGGGATATATAGTTTAGAGAATTTTAAGTATATTTATTTGACATTTCTTAAAATATTTGATTTCATTTATATTAATATTACTTATTATGCCTTATATATTTATTATTTTAACTATATCTTATATTTGTAGAAAGAGTTTCTTGGCTGGGAGTATACACCATTGGAGTTGCATACGATGACTCAACAACATCAAGCTGACCATCAGTGGGTTGATGAGAAGGTGAAAAAAGCTCATGTGAGTATAATTTTTTAAGTAATAAAAGAAAATAAATATAAATATATTTTATGGATTTATTCTCGTAGGATGATTTTATATGAGTTTGAGAAAGTTATCAATCTACTAGTAAGGGATCATCTTTAGGATCGACCCAGTATTCTGAGTATCACACGTGGTCAAATATTGTTAGAGGGAGGCAGAGGGGGAGGGTTTATGGCTTAAGTTCATATGGATATGCTTATGAGGGCAGTTTGTTTAAGTTAGTATTTTTTGATGTCAGTGGATCTAAAAAAACTGTCAGTTAGAGGGTTGCTGCCCTAACAAGAGAGATAGAGGAGATGAGTTAGATTTAAAATAAGATGCAGGCGGAGCTGTAATCATATCTATTTGAAAATCAGAAGAAGAAAGAGCAAGAGCCGACACCTGAATCACATGACAACGAGGACATGGAGGATGATTAGTGATGTTATTTGTTTGATGAACTTTTTGGTATATTTTGAATATCTGACTGCAAATTTCATATATTATGTTGATTGTAGAACATATGCATTCTTCTTTGTTTAAAAAACTATTTTTTCTTATTATGGATTGTGCAAATATAATTTGTTGATTGTCTTTTATTATTTCATATAAAATGTTATGTTGATTTTGGACTCCATTTATATGGGTTGAGTATACTGGCGTGTTGCCTTTAAAGTTTTTATTTTATATATGTTTTGAATTTCATGCAGGTATTATGGAATCGATTTAAATAGAGGGGGCTGTAATTTTTTTTTTTTTTTTTTGAAAATGCTACAGGTTTCTAGCGGCTCACCAACATTTTTTACGACCGGTACGCCGCCGATGATTACCCGGGGCTCGCCGGCATTTTGACCGCCAGAATTGAATTTCAAAATTCAAGTCTTGAAAAGCAAGTCTGATTATGATTTTTTTAATAGTTTTATCGTGTATAGGAAGAATATGGTGATTGGGTATCAGTTACTTGATTCCTTGATTTTCAATTTCTTGGTCGTTCTTTGAGCAATTCAAAATTTAAATATTTCTGACTGAAGCTATAATTTGCTCATGAATGAGGTGTTGTTCTTTTAGAGAATTTTGCAATCTAATACTGAGTTTTAAATGGATCAAGGCTTCTTCTATTGAGAAGGAGACCAGTGAGGGGTTTTCTTTGGTTCTAATGAGTGTATAATATGTCTTTTCAACGGCTAGTAAGAATTATTGATTTGTTTAAACTATTTGTTTGATGTAGTTTCTCCCAATGAAGTTGTGGTCATCAATCGAGATTTAAAATTTTTACTATCTATGCTATTATTATACTATCTATACTATTATTATAAAAATAGCTTGAGTTTTTTTTTTTTTTTTTTAAATACAATTTTAGCCTTTCATTTTATTTATCAAAGATGAATACAAACCATTCATTTTATTTATGAATTTATTTTAGTTTTTTTTTTTAAATTTCAGTTATTTACTTGAATGCATGACTTTTCTTTTTATTTATATTAATTGCATTTAAGTAAGACCCCAATGATTAAAATGCCGAAAAATTTTAATTGCTTTTATTTATATATTCAAATACACTTAATTAATATATTTATTTGCATTATATTTTTAATTTATATCTATCATGGAAATTAATAATATAATTCATTCATTAATAACTATTAAAATTCCATAATTTTACTAATTTATAACTTTAAAAATAAAAAATTTACAGTATAAATCTTAGTTCATTATTTTATTAAATATTTTTTTTTTTTTAAATTTTTTTTTTTTTTAAAAAAAATTAAAATTTTTTTTTAATAATTCATATAATGAAAAAAATTTCAATATTAATTAACACAATTATTAAATAAATTCAATTAATAATTTAATGTTAAACTAAATAAAATAAATCATTTTTTAAAATAAATTTATTAAATTAAATTATATTGATTAAATAGATATCAGTTCTAGTTTAAATATAACGAAACAAATAAAAAAAGCAGATTTTCCATGTTTGCACGATGGTTAGGGGGCATGAAAGGCGGGGTGTCCCGGGTTGAACCCGCCGATGGCGTCTATTGTGCGGGTCAATAGGCACAGGGCGGGCTTGCGTGGTTGGGTATGGCGGACGATTTTGGTTAGTTGTAGCCACCTGGAGTGCTCTTGGGCCTGGGCTTCTGGTGGAACCCTTGGTTTGTCGGGCTGCGGGTTGGCCGACAACCTTTTTTTTTTTTAATTTTTTTAATTTTTCAGATGGTAAATAGTTCACCGAAAGTGTACCGGTAGATTATTTTCCACTGAAAATCCGTCTGAAAGATATACTGGTGGCCTATTTTTGCACGCGAAACCTTTTCGACGTTTTCCTTCGAAAAAAAATCCGTCGGAAACACTAATTTCCGTGATTTGCTGGCATTTTTCTGAAAAGATTTTTAACTGACTGCGCAGTAACACCATAGTTCTATATAGTGTTCTTTTAATCTACCAACGTTTTTTGAGTGTATTTAAGAATAATATAATTTTATATGCCTATTGATTATGTATATATCATGTATAACATAAAAATATTAACATGTATATTCATAAAACATTTAATATCATTTATAGAATATGTCATAAAATATTTAAAATTTATAATATTATTTCCCTTTTTTTATATATATATATATATATATATATATATATATATATATATATATAGACAAAGCAGTCAACCGGAAAAAGGTAGCATTCCCCAAGAAATAATAGAAC